TGTGGTAGCCTATCCGTTTGAGATGTTTGGAGCCTCGAAGAGCGTGCTCCTCGCCTGGGCCACTGCCTCTCTTGGGTAGCGGGTGAGGCAGTCCAATCTCCCTGAATCCTCCCCAAAGAGATGCCACCTCCGGACCTCCGTAGCGGGGCATCTCTGCAGCCAGTGCTACAAAATCTTGGGGCTCCTCGCTACACAATGGACAGATTGGGTCCGATGTTTTGTCTATTCCATTTTTGTAGGCCCACAGCCCAGAGAAGTGACCGGTCCTGATTTTTGCGAGTAGTGACTGGTCACTGCGAGACTTAATTTGAGTTCCTCTGAAAAACTGTTGTAGTAGTTGTTGTTGTTGTTGTTTCTGTTGTTGTCGTTGTTGTTTTAGGATATCTAGAGTTTGGAGTCTTACTAATCGAAACGATAATCTTAAATGGTTTGAAATTGTTGCAACAGGAGTGTAAGCGTGAACGGCCTCTGTGAGCTGCTGACCCCGGACCCCAGTCATGTGGCTCCTGCCTCTGATTCTGTCTTCGCTGACACTTGCCGTGACAAGTGGAGGTAGGTTTTGTACATGTCAGTTTGAAAGCCACCCCCTCTCTGTGTCCCCCTAACCCCCCACCCTAAATGGTTCCTACCAACACCACATCTCTCTTCGAACACTCACAAAAAATACACATACGTCCTTATCGACGCAGAACAAGCCGGGGCAAAAAGCGCGAGATACCTAATAGATATTCTGTCCACACAAGAATCAAACTCGTGCCTACTGCGAACGACCACGAAGCGCATAACTGCTACAACAAAAACACAGATTTATAGGATAATTTTCTAGATCACCTTACATCCCATTGTTTTGAGCTTATGTTTTGTTTGATTGAGTCCTGGCCACTCTCTAAATTGTAAAGGTTCTGTAGCATTGTTTAGTTTTAACACCTTTTTATATCGTTTTGTCAAACTCCAATTAAATTATTCTACTGCTTGCAATGTTCGTTTCTCGGGAAGCCAAGATTGTTTTTAAGTGCTCTTGTGTCCTCTGGAGAAATACAAGCTGTCAAATGCATAGAGCATGCTGTAGAGTATGGGTGTGCGCTGTATTATCATTATCATTATTGTTATTATTATGATGATTATTAGTATGGTTATTTTTATCATTTTTGTTATTGGGGTTATTATCATTATTTTCATTATTATTATTATTATTATTATTATTATTATTATTATTATTATTATTATTATTATTATTATTATTATTATTATTATTATTATAATATTATTATTATCATTATTATTATTACTATTATTATTATTATAGTTATCATTCTTCGTATTATTAACATTATTGCTGTTATTATTAGTATAATGTATTGTTTTTTTTAATTAATGTAGTCATTATTATTATTATTATAATCATCATCATTATTATTATCATTATTATTATCATTATTTTTATTATTATTATTGTAATTGTTTTTGTTGTTATTATTATTTTTATCATTCATTGCCCTCAGATTTCATCAAGACGTGTGACGAACAGCAACACACTTCTGTTTCTGTCACTCCAACAGGCTCTGTCTCACTGTGTGTGAAGACTGACTACAAGCCTCATGTTTTTGTAAAGGCTGGCATACACTGGTTCCGAAAAGGAGAAGAGGGAAATGGATTCAAGATTGACTGGAAGAAGGATGACGATTCAAACTTCAACATCACCATTGTTGCCTTGAACTTGACAGCGGGCAGAACACATGACTTGAAGTTCTATCCGTTTGACGGAACAAGAGATCGGAAGAATTTGACTGTTACAGTACATGTTGTGAGGGGTGAGTGTTCTCTTGTTCTTGTTTTAGTTCTTGTTCCTTGTGTTCCTCTTGTTTTTGCTCTTGTTTTTATTCTTATTTCTGTTCTTTTTTCTCGAATTCTGCTTGTTTTAGTTCTTGTTTTTGTTCTTGTTTCTCGTGTTCCTCTTGTTTTTTGTTCTTGATAGTGTTCTTGTTCGTATTCCTTGTGTTTGTCTTTTTCTTGTTTTTGTTTCGTTTCCCGTATGTCTCTTGTTTTTCTTTTATTCTCGTTCTAGTTCCTCGTGCTCCTCGTGCTTTTCTTATTTTTGCTCTTGTTATTTTTGTTCTTTTTATTTTTGTTCTGCTTTTGTTCTTGTTGTTCTTGTTGATATTGCTGCTTTTCCCTCTTCCCGTCCTCCTCATCTTTTTCCTCCTCCTTTCCTTTCACTTTATCTGTTTAATCCTCTTACAGGATTTCAGGGGTGGTCGACTTAACATTCTTCAACCACCAGTGCAACTCACAGGCCGCCTTCTTTTGTTTTATTTTTTTGTATTTGTTTTTATTTGCTCTTGTTCTTGTTCCTCTTGTTGCTGCTGTTGTTGTTGTTTGTTGTTGTTGTTGTTGTTGTTGTTGTTGTTGTTGTTGTTGTTGTTGTTGTATTTCAACAAAACATTCTTTGAACGTCAGTGCGACTAACAGGCTGTCTAATACGGAATGTATTTCGCTTTTCATGCACCAATATGCTGCATTCTTCAACACTGTTATCCATTTTTGTTTGAATCAAGTGTCTTCAAATTTAGGTAAGAAAGTATAACATTTCGTAGTTTAAAAAAACAAAGTACTTGTCACCTTCCACCTTCCCCCCACCCATCCCAGCTAACACCTCTGCGATCAGAGGGGAGGAAAACCCAAGCACCCTCACCCTTCCCTCCCAAAAATGCACATATCGCACTCCTCTACACCCCCATTCCCACCCACGCAATAGACACACATAACACCTTTCTCTCCCCCTTCCCCCACATACGCTCGCACACTTAATACCCTCCCCTACCCCCCCACCCCACCCACATACACAAACACATGACACCCTTCCTCCTTCCTCAACAAAACACATT